AGCTTAGCTTTCCGTGAGGGGATGCATATTACCCGGAGTATTTCAGTCCAGAGTTTTGAACCGAACCATCCAATAAAAGAGACCGAGTTATAGTTATTTTGGTCAAACCTTGTACCTAATTATATTTAATACCTTATACATAATTTCATGCAAATCGATAAAATGTCTATTTTTGTAAAACTGACTGGGTTAAAGCCGTTTTTGTGTTGACTTGTTTTAATTCGCTGTGGTGACCACGGATCCTGAATTGAACTAACTCCAAATGTTTATGAGTTGTAGATGTACAGGTAGTTAATGCTTTCAGAGAGTTGCTCAAATCCATCAAAGGGTTCAAAATATATTTTACTAACAGATGGATAGTGTTGACTACTCCCAACAGTCAAAGTTTTAACCAAAGAGGTTTCACAATGTGTAGTGCTTAGCGTATTTGTTGGATATCAATCTCAGCTGTTTTCATAAAATATTTTAGTCAGTATCTACGTATAGAATTGACAACGTTAGAATAATTGTTGTCATGGATAATGTTGATTACTTGTGGTGGCCATCTTAAACTGGGGTGACCCAAAAGCTAAGCAGTTGCTGATGCCTGAATGATTCCTTTCTGAGAGTTTCATTCTGATTGTTCACTGAATCGAGATATTTTACTAACAGTATAGACAAATGTCAGAGTCAGAGTTTCTTTATTGTCATTCGCACCTCATGTGGTACATGTGGTGGAGCGAAATTATGTTCACAAGGTCCCAGTTACATCCAACAATAAAATGTATAAGAAAAACAGTAATAACATCTAAGATATGAACTAAGAAAAACATCAACTAATACTAGTATAGTATAGTGTAGTGTAGTATATTTAGTGTAGTATAGTATAGTGTAGTGTAGTATATTTAGTGTAGTATAGTATGGTGTAGTGTAGTATATTTAGTGTAGTATAGTATAGTGTAGTGTAGTATATTTATTGTAGTATAGTATAGTGTAGTGTAGTGTAGTATAGTGTAGTGTAGTATATTTAGTGTAGTATAGTATAGTGTAGTGTAGTATATTTAGTGTAGTATAGTATAGTGTAGTGTAG